TTCGCAATCCAACTCTATCCAGAACAATCCTTTCCAGTTCCTTTCAGTTGCTATTCATACTTTTCAAATCTGCTTCCGATTCTCAACACAGTATGTTCTTTGGTCTCCCTCGTTTCCGTTTCCTTTCAAGATTCCAAGTAAGCGTTTATATTGTGATGAAATTTGATTTTCACAATGTGTCCCATCCACTTCCAAAAGCTTTTCTCCAAATTCCTCTTCATACGGAATACACTGTGTTCACACAGCCAACGAAAATTGCATACTTTGTGTCGAAAATTAATTATCAATACTCGTACATTTCTGATGATGGATGTAGTGTTTCTCCAAGTTTCAGCTCCGTACGGTAGAACTGTCCAGACGTTCGTTGTGAAGATTCTGACTTTGATAATAGTTGAAAAACAGTTGTTTTGAGTCCCTTATGTACTTCAATTATAGGAATGCTGCCATTGCTTTGACAACCCTTGCTTGTACGTCTGATTTAGATCCTCCACGTTCATCGATGATGCTGCCGAGGTTAATGCACGTTTCCACTACCTTCTGAGTTTCTCAAGAGAAGATAATAAATGTCAATATAAAAACCCTTTAATTAAAAGTTATCGTTTGCAAAAGGCTACAAAGAGTCGGTAGTGGTATTAGTTCTAAAACCCGTTATCTTTGAAGCACAATAAAAGATGGTCAAGAAAATATTCACTCAGTATTTAACACTTGAGGAGGCTAAAAAATGTTGAACGGGGAAACAGTTATTCAGCATGGTATGGTTCGGCCATGCAGGCGTTGTAACCACTATATAACCTCCTGTTTTCGTGTTAAATATAGTGTTCCCTTCCCGGCCAAAATGCATTATTTGAAAGTCCTCAACCACCTTCATTAGTTTCACTAAAGGACGAGTCAGTATACATAATGGTGTGATTTCCACGTTAAGTCTGAAAGATCAGGTAGTCACATCATGACAAATATACAATTGTGAAATCAGTCTATTATTCTAGTAACATTGATAAGTTTACTATTACCAACCTAGACCATGATACTATAAGTGCAATTAATAGTTTGATGAGTTTGTAGTTACGTAGTGCCAAAAGATACGAGAGCATGTGCACTTTCCTTAATGTTTTTGATATCAGAAGGGCAATAAATCTTGCAAAGATACCAGTGACCCGAAACTCACGCTTTACTTACAGCTTACAGTCAATCTTGTGACTGTATAACCATGAGCGGAAGTAGACGAAAGCACAACATAATTCACACTTAACAGAAATCAATGGAGACAAGCTTAACAGCGCAACAAATGATATATATTTCTCGAGACAAAATGTCCTGTAAGTACTCGATATTGATGCTCACTTTTCACGTTTTGTCTTACACATTCTGGCTGAGGGAACTCAGTCAGCCATCTTCACCAGTCACGACAGGGCAGCTTAGATCACATACTTCTCGATGCATCGACCATAATCTAAATATATCCCCGAACTCCTTCATTACTGACTTCTGGCTTGACCGGCTTTCAGCACTTCGATTATAAAGGTCTAATGGATGATAGCATAGCTAATCACCAAATACCTGTGAAGATGGCACAGGTATCCAGTATTTGACAACGCTTTTACCAGTAACACTTAATATAACCCGTACCCACCTACAGAAATCAAAAGACAGAATCAAGGAGATCAGAAGTTGTATTCGACGATTGCCAATATATCGGAATGGTCTGATCTGGTCTGGTTAGCGATTGCCGTAAATGTTGAGCACGGCGTTACCACACGTGATCTAGTGCGGATGCATGACCGAGCGTCTTCAGCTAGGTGAGTCCATTAAAACGTATGGCCAGCATCGAATGTCGAAAACTTAGTGCTATTTATTTTGGGGATTTATTTACCGCTACAACCCTAAGACGCGGCCAGCCAGAAGTTCAAGCCCAACGGGTTTTGTCGTTGGTAAACACTCTTCTGATAGCTTGCTAGGTTTAGCAGAGTCTGGTCGTCTTTTCTTACTATAAAGGACCATGAAGTACAGTATATTAAAAAAAGAAAAAAGTACAATAAAAATTTCGGCTCCTCGTAAACTTCATCGTTCTCTTCCAGCCGTCCTGGAAAAGAAAGAAGGAAATGTAACTGAATGTCGAAATACACTCGTACGCGCGTAAAAACATTGCCGGCGAAAAAAGTGGAAAACAAACTCATATACTCGTAATATCGTTAAAAAAAGGATTTTTATAATGTTTTTTAAAAATAAAAATATATAAGCATATTAAAATTGTTTTTTAAAAAAACATATTACATATTGTAAAAAGAAAAATCGAGATAATATAAAATATCAAGTAGTGCCTTACGTGCAATAATCGTTTAAATTTCCTGGAAATCTTACTCTTCTCACAGAACGCGTCGTCTTAAGTTTATTTTCTGATACTATTGAAGCATCATCGTGTGTGATGCCTGTCGGTTGGGGTAGGAGTCGTGTTGTGCGATTTCACCGAAGGGAAATCGACGTGAATAGGATTTCCTTCTAAGTACGCTGCTTTTAGGCGATCTATGCTGATGCTATCGTTTGTTCCGTTCTTATCGACTATATAGTACTTAGATTCACGTTGAAGAACTTTGAACGGTCCTTCGTATGCTGATTCGAATGGTCGACGATCCGAGTCTTAACGGACGAAACCGTGTGTACTATATCGTAAGTCTGCTGACTCATCATCAAAATAAAAACTTTCTCTCTGTCTAGCGCTACTTTTGTACATTTCGGTACTGCCACCTTCATGTATTGGTTGTCCAGATTTGTTTAAAATAGTGATTTCTCTGGAGAACTCGGTTGCATCTTTACTTTAGCATTATTCTAATAATATTTTGGTAGTAGACAAGCAAAGTGTTGTTATACACATTATGCTGACTAAAATTGTAAAAATACTTTGCTAACATCCTGCATCTTATTTGACGAATAGCGTGGGGCTATGCAATATTTGGTTTCAACTTTTTTAAATCTTGTGTTTAGCGACACTAGTCCCAGTTTTGGTGTGTCTGTTCTTCATAACATGCCTAGTGTCACAAAAATGACTATAAATCTGTATAGTTTGTATATGATTTGTATATGATTTATCCCACTTAACACAGCGAATTCGTATTCATCTCCCATTTCTCTCATCAAATAATTGTTAGGATTGCTAGATTCTAGGATTTCTTAATGATTACAGAACGCTTTGGGCTTATTAACTATTCTAGACAATTGTTTACTAGTTGGTTTGTGCAGTGCACATCGGAGGAAACGATTGTAGTAGTTAACGATCTACGGACTTGTCACGCGTTCTTATAACTGGGTACTGTATGAATATATTGCTTATAACTGTACAGTTTATAAGTAATGTTAAGATGAGTCATTTTCTAATATCCCGATAAGTGTAACTTTTCACTCCACTCACAATACCACTTGTGTTTTCGGGCTATCACGTCATCGTTCAAGTGTATTTTAGTTGAGTTGATCAAGCACATCTTTCCCCCTATGCGGTGCCAACCAGCAGATTTGTAGCAGCATGGTATTCTGTGCTTTCAGATCTAAGTTTATCTATATTTTGACCAGCCAAATAGTACAGTCTGTTAGACTATTTCCAATACGCTAGTTCGTCTGGCTGCCTACAATACGTTGCGGTACATCAAAGTTCTGGATACATCTTTCTTATTTATTTATTCACACAAATATTGGTACAAGGAGCCACCGAGTATATATTCACCATACTTCATTATTCGATCTGCGTGAGGAATAAGATACTACTTGGGTGCTCAAACCGAATCAGGTGACCTTAGAGTGCCACTCCCTGAGCCTTTGACCTACTGGTCTAATCCATATGCAGTGGAACAATTTTTGATTCAATTCCATGGTAGTGAGTGACTGACAATAGGTTCATACGCCATTTATTCCTTTAGGATTCTGGAGCCTATGTGCACCATCGGTTTGGAATCAGGGTTTTCCAACTCCCCTACGTGGATCCTCTATAACCATCAACCCGGTTAAAACACCGGACATTCGCTTTTGGTCATCTCAACTTCGTAAACAATACCCCTACTGCGAGAAGGCGATATGCTAGACTTATCTTCCAGTAGCTGTACATGCATGCCCATATTAGAGCATTTCGATACGTCTTCAGTCCACTTATAATCGACACCAAAATAATCACGGAGTTTCAAAACCGAATTCAATCACATTTAAAACAACCAAACTCTTAGTTTATTCCCACTAGCTCATTTAGTCATAAGATTCACCTTCAGTTATATTCTGCAGATACTTAGACTAATTTACGTCTGTGTTTGTTCTTGCAGTTTTGGAGTAAAAATTCACCCTCAAAGTAAGATTTCAATTGCTGTAATACCAAGTTACCACTCACTAATGTTAAACACAACATATCACTTGAATAAAAAACATAATATAAAAGGTCAAATAGGCGAGTGGAGGGTTAGTATGATTTTCTTAGCAAGTATATGTGTGATCAGATTGTCCGGAATGTATTGTGCTAATATATTACACAGTTCTTATAATCCTTTTATTATTACACCATCCAGATCTATCAGAGACTAACTGCTTTATATACCAGTTGAACTTTGATTCAATTTATTTGCGTTCTTATGTCCTTCATACGGTGACTGTAACTCTATATCCGCCTTTATTCCACTACTCAACTATTTTCTTGTCATTATCTTACTGTGATTCAGAATCTTTATTTTACTGTTTATTTATTTGAACACAAATATTGATACAAAGGGGCACCGAATACATATGTGCCACACAAGCCACTTGATTTGTGTGTGGGTTGTGATACTGGCCGGGTACCCAGACCGAAGCAGGTGGCTTTACTAGGGAGCCAGACTACTATATGTAATGTATATAAGAAATTTTTATTATTTCTGTCATCAACCACTTATCATACCAACTAAATTCGTTTGTTTTCTTTTTTCATTGTTTTAGGTGCATTTTAATGCTCTAGGAAATAATTGCAACAAAACTTTACATCTTTACTATGTCTAATGGGTAATACCATTGCTCCGAGGATCGAGAACGCTGAGAAGACTGGTGTTTTACAAGTCAGTGGCTTAAAATTAAAAAAGGTATGGGATAACGACTATTACTCCTTTGCTAATTAACTTAAAAGGTTCCTGAACAAGTAAAACACCTTCGTAATCTTCGGAGTTTAGATCTCTCAAATAATAAAATTGAAAATATCGACCCATGGATATCTGTATTAAAAAATCTTAAGGTTCTAAACGTTGAAAACAACAAATTAAGTAAGTTTCTTCACTTGATATTGTTTTACTTGAATTTTCCCATTGATGTTTTTTTTTGGACTGAAATTGATCAGTCTCTTATTGGCATATGTGCATACTGTGCGTATGCCTCGATATTGCCTAAATTTACAAGCATTATAAGCAAAGATGGATAGTGGCTAGCAGTGGAATCCAGGACGCGCGTTTCGTCCTGTTTGGGACTCGTCAGCTGGATGTACCTGCATCTCAGAGTTGATGTTCACTCTGGGACTCGAACTCAGTACCGTTCGCTTCAAACGCCATCGCGTTATCCACTTAGCTACTGAGTCCTGATAGCCACTTGCTTGTGCAATGGGTACATCCAGCTGACGAGTCCCAAACAGGACGAAACGCGCGTCCTGGATTCCACTGCTAGCCACTATCCATCTTTGCTTATAAGTAAGTTTCTGTTCAGTATTTCATTATGTTGTATCAGAAAGTCGTTTACCGAATGGTCTGAATATTATTAAGTTCCATCATACTGTTTCTTTTAATAGCCGGAAATTTTCTACATTTCCATCAGTGTTAAAAAAATTCGAATTGTGTTAAATATCGCGCAGTTTATTACACTAGCAAGCAATATTGTTAAACCTCTGTTCTAAAGAATACATTTATGTATTTGAACACATAAATATTGGTACAAAGGGGCACCGAATACATGTGAGCCACACAAGGCACTTGATTTGTGTGTGGGCTGTGATACTGCCCGAGCGCCCAGACCGAAGCAGGTAGTTTTATTAGAAAACTACACCCGGAGCCTTCGACCTAAATTTTTGATCCACAAGGTAGTAGAGCAACGTTCGGAAATGCAATCTCATGGTAGCCGGTGACCAACGATTGGTTCATACGCCATTTGTCCCTTCAGGATCCTGGAGCCCATGTGCACTATTGGTTTGTAATAAGGGTTTTCCAACTCCTTTCGGTGGGTCCTGTATATCCACCAACCCAGGTAAAACACTGAACATTCGCCTTTCGTCCTCTTAATTTCGGAAACAACACCGCAGTGAGTAGGCCTGTCATACTTAAACAGACGTTTCGGCTTGTCAAAATGCCTTTTTTACCTGCAACAAATGTACATCAGTCATACCTCACGTCGCCATAAAGTTAGGAAGTTAAAAAAGAAATTAGCAGTCAAAGAGAAGATATTAAATTTACTGGGATAGAAAACCAAAACATGGGGAATACATCTCAAATGTGATCTCTAAGTGAGCAGTATAAATAACACAAAATTTAAGATTTTTAGAGAAAGACAAAGAGTGATATCGTTAACCAAAAAATAAGGAAAACTTCATGATCAAACTGTCTAGCTCAGGAAATAAAACCTCCAAAATTCTCATCCTTAGATGCAAATACTTCCCATCTCAAAATCGTCAGTGCTACACTTACATATTATTAATTGTATATGATTATTACTGTAATCAGACTAATTGTTCATTACATTAATTGTCAAAGTGCATCCTGCTATATCCTAGATTAGTATATATTTCAATGAGCAAAACATATTTCGTATTGATTAGGTTTCACAGTTTCTCCTAGTTTTCACTTCATTTTATATCTTGTGCCCTCCGATTTTCTCGCAACTAGAATTATTGGGTACAGTAGTTCTAACTTTTCTGTGTATAAAATATGCAAGAAAGTATAAGATAATGTGCTAAGAAGATCTTACCTTCTGAAATGATGTAGAATTGCTTTATGTATATTTATTTTTCTCAGTCAGTTAGCATTGATGGAGTGTGGGAATAGTGATAACGTCATAAGGAAAGAATTGATAATCAGGTTAGCGATCTAGTCGTGTACAAAGTATTCTCGACTTCTGCTAGAAATATGTGGGTGGTTATGACTTCCCAGTTGTACATTGGAAAAATACTTCATATTAAAATACCTGAAAAGGAAACTAAATTAGTAACGTTCTTAGTAACCTAAGAGTGTAACTGCAGAACCCAACGAAAAACTACTCGAGGCCGGTCGCACATGTCCTTTTTGCTACTAGTTCTTGATGTGTTACCCCCGTATTTCAAAGGCATTACTACCAGCGACGGAAACCCACAGGTTAGTATATGGTGTTCTATTTCTAGGTTCTGCGTTATTTGACCCTTTCCTTCCTTTGTAAGAAGGGAACATTACTACAGTTCCTGGCTGTCCAAAGGTGTTAGCGGGACATAGACTGGATTAAGGCATGCTCAATGCACGATTGCTTTGGTGCACGCTGATTAACTAGTTCCCAATTACTTTATGCATCTGTTTCCCCTCGAACCTTGAAATCCTACATTACTTCACACATCTAGTCTTTTCGTACTGTTATAGATATTGTTATTGTTCCGATCTCTTTTCCAATCATCTTGTTAGTTTCATTGTTTGCTTTAGGAAAGTAGTATGGCGATCTGACCTAATTCGCACATGCGCTAAGTTCTACGCTGCTTTATAACTAACTGAGTAATAATAATGCAATAACTTTGACACTGACTTAATAACGTAATACATTCATATTTAGTAACTCGACCATTCGGTAGTGGACCAAATATAGGCCAGGACAAGAGTTCATTAGTACAAAGCAAAGAGGTCGGAAGCATATGTTACAATATAAATAGTTAACTAGTTTGTGAATTGTCAGGTTTATATATGTGCTGTTTTTGATAAATCATGGGCCACATGAACACATGAATCAATCATAACCAAATGTGCTATATTTTCCTTACTTGCAGAATGTTTTCCTGCAGAACTATATCTACTAACAAAATTGGAATCATTAAATGGAAACAGTAATTTCTTAATTAATTTTATCACACCTGGAGCAATTGTCAATTTAAATGAATTATCTTGTCTACGTACTGTAAATTTGAGTCATAATTGTTTAACTGAATTTCCTGTGGAACTGTGTTTAAAGTCAATACCTATCAATGTGATTGATTTGTCAAATAACCAAATTAGTATTATACCGAATGCTATCGCTTCATTACAGGTAAGAGTATCTGTTGATCATAGCATCTGGTCTAAATAAGTTATGAATGTGTATAGATGCTTATTCGTCATTTTTAATGTATATATCTTATGTTAAGCTTTCATTGTGTTAGATGTTAGTGTAAAATGTAGTAAATTAAACTAATACACCATACATATATGGTCAAAAGTTAAATTTTGTGCTACATAAAAGTTGTGTTAAATGTTATTCCCCTCACGAATCACAAGAAGTAAACAGTAATGACAGAAACACTCAGTAACTATTCAATCAAACGATTAGCTAGTGAACCCAAACCAGAAAGTTCCCCACCCTCCAACTTGACTTAATTAAACAGTCGCTAACTTTTAAGACTGATACCATATTTTTATTTGACCTGTTCAGAGCTTCTTTCTAATCTACTTTTATACTGTCCATTATTGTGTATTGGCTCAAATAGGGACTAGATATGATCAATACATCCCCTAACTACCTATGTTTCTTGAGTGCTCACAGCTTCATAAAGTTATTTACTATCTACCTAATAACTTACGCCAGCCCTTATCGTCGTTTATCTGGGTGTTTCACTATATACGGACAATGCTGCTAAGACCAGATATCATAAAATACTAGCAATCTACGCGTTTCACCAACCTTGCGAGTTTGTTTTACAGCCAAAAAAACAATACAAAGTCAAATGTTAAGCACTATGTTTACTCTATAATAGGTAAATGAAAACTAAATACTAAGATTGGGTGGATCATAAAACAGACCGAAATGATGTAAGACGTAGAACACTTAAATATTGATAGTGTGAGATGTTTTTTATGCGTTTGTGTAAACGTAAATCCATGTGAATAGAGGGATTTTCATAATACGTAGAATTCATGTGTATTTCATTACTCCCCCTTCAGTTATATATAAACTGTCAATCGCAAATTATTTGAAAGATAAAACAAATCGATGTTGACATTCTTACAAGTTAACACTTACACACTAAAAACAGTATAATGTCTACTGAAGTGACAAATTTTATTACAGGCTGAATTAGGTGCTAAATTCATTAAAAGTCAATTGTTTAATCAATTCACTTAATCCTTACTCTGGTATTTATCAAGCATGTCCTAGTCACATTAACAAATATAAGCTAATCAAACCTTTGTCACAACCGCTGGATGTTTCATTGTCACTTGTCATGCATAATGACTATTATTATTATTATTATCATTATTATTCACTTATTACCAGGTAAAGACTCATGTATTCGGCTCTAAACCCCACTTTAAACGTTAGGACTAGTAGTACGACCGGTTTAGTAAACGGAAGTTCGTGGGGCGGAGTTCGGACCTTTGATTTAATGGTTTGAAGTCTAACAGCTTAATCGTTAAGCCACAAATAGTAACCAGGCTGTAGTATTGCATTATCTCAATCTATTTAATCATTGTTAATTTAATCTAATATTTCTTTCCTCTTTATCTCATCTTAACAACAACAAAATATTTCTATTCAGGCCATTGAAATTAATTTGAATTCGAATAAAATATCAATTATATCCAATGGCATGGCCCAATGTGAACGATTGAAAGTTTTACGCTTAGAACATAATTGTTTACGATTAGAAAATTTCCCAACCGAATTACTAACAAATTCACAAGTCTCCTTAATATGTGTCGATGGGAATTCATTCAATATGAAAGATTTTTACAATTTGCCCGGTTATTCAAAAGTTAGTTATTCTCGTCATTATTATCTTTTTAATTATAGTTTTCATGCACACCTACCCCCATATCGTGTCACTTCAACATGTTATTGAATATCTAAGCATTGGAATTAGTGATTTAATAATAAACATATTTAGGTTTAATTACTTCTACTGTAGTCATAAATATTTCTTTAGGTAAAGTGTTAATTATAACTAAAGGGACTCATGCGTATTGCATATATATCTGGTGCCCCCTTGAACCAATATTTATGTGTTCAAATAAATAAAGAGACTCTTAGTGTCATTGAAGTGGAATGAAGACAATTCAGCGAGGAGAATTTTTTTTCTGACGATTTCATTCACTTACACTGTACAATCATATTTGCAATCAATTTTATTTACTAAAATAATGGTCTTCAGAAAAATCAAATTTTGAAAGGAAGTTATGTGAACAATTCATGACAAGACACCACTTCAAGCTTGTTTGTTTTTCATTATTCTATTTTACTGCATACTGTTATTTTAGCAAATAAAATTAAGTATAAATACAATTGTACAGATTATGTAAATGAAATCATCGGAAAGAAAATTTTCTTTGCTGAATTGCCTTCATTCATGTTAAGTGTTGATTAGTTGACAAATAGCCAAATGTTAGACAATTAATCTAATCGGTCGAATTCCATGAACTCTTGTTCAGTCAGTCATCTACAAGATAAGATCAAGCACATTCCCCTCTCAAATACTTCTAGAAGGACACTTCCACGGTGTAGGCATCTGGGAAATGATGATCACCCTTATGCCCCCAACAGCACTCTATGAAGTTTCGTTAGTTTTGATTAAATATTAAGATTTATGATTTTTTTTCCATTAAAAAAAATCATTTGAATGCAAAGATTTTTTACGTCGGTTCACTCATCTTAGAATAACAAAATTAATAAAATATCAAGAATTCATGAATGAAAATGTCTAACAAAAGTCATAATATTAACGGGTGAATTCTTTCGCAAGATTTATCCATACTACTTGACAGTCTTACTTTATAAAAACCAGTGAGCGAAGACAATCGCCTATAGGAAGTATCACTAAACTATACAATATTGTAGATACATCCCACTATTGATTTCTGCTCTGAATTTCATAGTATGTGAATTACTTTCAGTAGATTCAATGGATAGTCTAGTTTAGTCTGATTCCGAATCGTGTCTGTCGGTCATCGCGTATACATCCATCTCGTGATTGCATAGTCTGTTTTATGAACTAATCAAACACTTATCAAATATATAAGTTTATTTATATAATTATTATCAGTGGTCTTTCAATGTACGGAAACTTATGAATCGGAAAATCAAAAATATAACGCGTAAGATTTTACTACTTTCAAAGCATTTTAAGCAGAGATGGACAGTGACTAACAGTATATTCGAGGATGCGCGTTTCTTCCTATTTTGGGTTCGTCAACTGGATCTACTTGTATCCCAGATTTGATGTCCACTCCGGGACTTGAACCCAGTGCCATTCGCTTCAGATGCTGTCACATTATCCACTTAGCTACTGAATCCAGACAGCCACTGGCATGTGCAATGGGTTAGGTTTTAATTCATATGTATTAATTGTTTGATCCTCCATCATCTTTTAAGATTGCAGTTTATCGGATTCCGGAACGAACATCAAATTTAAGGTACTGGTTCACCCGACTGATGATCCCACTTTTAGCCACTATCTATCTCTGCTTATTGCATTATTTTTTGTCTTTCGTTGTATCACACTATTATAGCTAACTAACGAACTGATTTATTTAGTCAGTTTGCGTTATCTCACTTTTGTAGTATATGGAACGTTTTACAGCAATGAAGAAAAAAGCTGCTTAGAAAACATACAAAAACGAAGACAATTCTTTCTGGTGAAAATCAAACAACTATTACCATTATCATACTCTTTCTGACTGACTATTTCTGCTAACTTTTCACATATTTATATATGCATGTGCGTGTATTTGGCGATTATTATTTCATAATCTTATCACCCAAACATCCACACACCCGTCCACTTGCCTACTTTTGATTTTCTCTTCTTTTTTCTTTCTGTAACTTACTTTTTTCAGAAAGTAAATATTTACACACGGGTTGTTTATACAGTGTAAAACCGTACAATACTGAGTAATATAATTTTTTATTAATAGTAGTGTTGTAGCTGTTTGTAATTAGATGCTTAATTCTGCACGTCAAATCAATCTGAGACTTGATCGAATGATATAATTTTGTGGGAACTAACAATTTGCAAGCTTTAAAACGTTAGGTGTATGCCTAAAAACTAATTAATTATATCGTCAAAGTCATAGTCAGATAGATGTTATGACATTTAGACAAGTAAATAAGAATAATGAAATAGTAGCATGTAGCGGCAGTTTATATTGAGTAGGAAAATATCATCTACAAATAACTAAACAAAGAGGTTTGAAACAAACATAAGATTTCAAAAGGTAACCCACAAGAGGATTTTTAAAAGCCAAAAGTGAGAATACATACCATTGAATGGAAAATTACAATTTACAGAGTGGAAAATGAGATAGGATTCTTCTAACAGGACTTTACATAATGTTAATTAATTATACCAACACCTGATAAAATGAATTCTTGACGGACCAAAAAATTCAAAATGTTGCATCAGGTTTAACTTGCGTTAGTGACACGGGTTCATAAGACTCGAATTGTTTTTGTCAACTTGCATCATTTGTGGCATAGGGGACATATCAAAACGATGAGTTTACTGCACAACAGTTCGCTCCATTCTACTTTGTCGGTGTCAAGTATCCCCCTCCCCCCAAGAATAGTAGATATTCGTACGTTACTAGTATTCGATCATAAGTGTTTCCCAAGTATCACTCGTGTATTTTGGAAGCACGATTCATTAATGTCGAGGTTCCAGATAGGGTATTTTAATAACGAAAGGTGGTAAATCGATTGATTAGGTAGTAAATCTTCATCAAATGAGGTGGTCGAGGCATGTGTTACATACACTCAAGTACCGATTACCTCGACATGTTGTCTGATGTGGTGGTAGATTGTGAGGAAGATAGGATAGGTGAAACCGAGACGTGGAATCAGTCCATGAAGACACTGACTATTGGATTCAGTCAAGTTAATAGGTGTAGATTACCTGGTTGTGATCCACGTGATTATCGTAACCAGTGTTTAGATACTTTTGGCAAGATTGCTCGAAATCGTCTGCAATAAAGCAGGTGCATTCATTCTCTGTCTTCTCTCTCAAATCCTAATCTTCTGAATTTTGTCGTATGCTTTTATTCCACTAATATATATTTTCTTGAATCTTATATTCGACAACTGATCTTTTATATTGTTAATGATACTGTAACTGCATCTACTACTCTGGGATGTGTCTTAACAGTTTTGTCTCTGTGCTAGTGGGGTATGACAACTTGAAGCGTTGTACATACATACCAGGTTTTACGTTGCGACTAACTGAATTAAATATAGTGAGTATCCATACATTCAACCACATCGAATAAGCATATATTTATATTGTTACAACGGGTAGAAGTGAAAGATCATTATCTAAATTTAGGAAGATAGACTGCTAACGATCGCTTAAGAAAAGCAAGGAAAACCCAACGATGTTGACTTATCATTTTCCTACTAATCATATCTGGTGGACAGACCGAGTAGATGCAAGTTTATCCTACAACTGTTTAAAGAAACCTAATGCTCCAAGTCCAGTCTCTTTTGGAAAGCAGTTTTTATCTCCAGCTCATTCTTATTCATATTTTCATAAATTCGAGTGAAGTGAATTTTAGGAAAACGATATTTTCGACAGGAAATAGTGTAACTGTCACTTTGCACTCATTATTTTATTGATTTTCTGTTATTTAACAAGTAACAAGATTATGTTTATTTGATTGAATATCTTGTATACTAAGTTAACTTATTGAATTCATAAAATAAATCATTAAGCCAATGGTTCTGTCAACCAAAAGTTATTTGCGGTGTTGAGATTGAATGATCAGTTGTTTTGTAAACAAAATTGCAAATCCTGTCACTTACACATCCATTTCAGTAATGTCATGAAGTAATTATGATGTCTAAATGTATATACATATACCGAGTATATTGAATATTGTGTTTAGTTAACTTTATTTATCTATACTATATACATTTTGTCATTAGTACAAATTGGTGGATAATGTAATTGATTACCGTCTATCTATAGGCTTTTACACTAAGCTGTAACATACACAATCATGTATAAAGGTTAATTACACGAAATGGATATTGACACAATAGTTCCCAGCATTATTTAGCTGAAATCAGTTCGTGATGAAGGATTACTCATCAAACTGAATTCCCCATTATTCACCCTCAGCTTTTATTAGCTCAAGAGAGTGATCAAATATCAATATTGTAAAATCTATCCAGAAAGAAATCTTGTCGGATTATTCTCATGCAGTTAGGAAAGGAAGTTGAAAATTTACTTTTTGCACGATTCAGTGCATTCCAACAGCTAGATGGAGACTCAACACATATTTCTGCATACCGTTAAAACACACCTACCTCTCAGTCTAGGTACTGTTAATAATAAGACATCTGCTTGTTTGAAGGTTTTATGATGACCGTTGTTGAGTCTTGCAATTTACGTCCTTCGTTAGCAAATCAGGAAACATTTGAGAGTTATTAAGTCACAGGATATGACTCACTAACAGTCCCCACCCACAAAACCAATTCGGAATCGAACCCTGGACTTTCGGATTTCGCAGTGAGCACTTAAACTTTAGATCGCTGAGCCACTATCCAATGGTTTATATTTTTAACTTCGACTAATTCACTATACTGTGCAGCCAACTCTCAATACCATTGGTACGTAATTGGTCATGACATCTCAATAGAAATTCAGGAACTATTTCCCCAAAATTAGTCACTAGTGGACACATGATTATTATCAATGTAAAAGGTTTGTGGAAACTGTTGATTTCCATAGTTTCACACCACATACTGACCTTAGTTAAGTAACTATCAATCACAAATTCTCCTTAGTTTCAAGAATATATATTGAAGCTATTCAACAGTATACACACACTGTTTTGTCAGGCGCTCTGTGGAGATCGGCTTGTTGCAATGCTATCTCAGTTATGATTGTAGCCATGCTAGGTTTGGCTAAAAAAAACGAGGAATATGGATTATGCATTTGCTATATTTCAGAGGATAACTGGACTGCAAGTGTTACATGACAAACAAATGCAGATAAAGACAACCAGTGTAGCAGCAGTCTCTGCATCAGCAGGCCTCAACATACACAAGGGAAAAACCAAGGTCCTCAAATACAACACGAAGAACACCAATCCAATCAAACTTGATGGAGAAACTCTGAAAGATGCAGAATCATTCACATACCTAGCAAGCATCATCGATGAACAAGGAGGATCAGATGCAGACTTAAGGGCAAGGATTGGCAAAGCAAGGGCTGCATTCCTTCAGTTGAAGAACATATGGAACTCAAAACACCTGTCAACCAATATCGAAGTCAAAATCTTCAGTACGAATGTCAAGATAGTCAGTTCTACTGTACAGATCTGAAACTTGGAGAACCACTACAACCATCATCAAGAAGGTACAAGTACTCATAAGTAGTTGTTCACGCAAGATACTCAACATCCATTGGTTGGATACCATCAGCAACAGCCTTTTGTGAGAGAGAACAAACCAGTTTCCAGATGAAGAGGAAATTAGGAAAAGACGATGGAAATGGATAGGACATACATTACGCAAATCATCAGAGTGCATCACGAGGCAAGCCCTAACACGGAAAAGAGGAAGGCCAAAGAACAAATTACGTCGGGTATGAAAAGGATGAATAAGAACTGGAAAGGATTGCCCAGGACAGGGTTGTATGGAGAATTCGGGTGAGAAGCCCATGCTCCTTCACAAGGAGTAACAGGCGTAAAGAAGAAGAAGACTTTCATTACCGTAGACAATGTAAATCGGGAAAAGAAGCAATGATGAGACATGTTTATATACAAAGGAAAAATCAATTTAAAAGGAGTATGTATTTCAAAAAAAGAGAGTACATTCAGTGTAAATAAAGCACTAAGTATATCAGGAACTTTTTAATTAAATTTAGAGAATAAAAATGATGTGTTGAAAAATCAGTTTTGTGTGTAAAACACACTACATTAATGAGGAAAATAGCATTTATGGCGATAACATGTATTATTGTCACATAATGCTTATTTGGTTAATACCAATGAAGAAGACGATGGTTGTGATGATTAACTGTGTATCAACAAAGCACCCAGTTGAGATGATACTGACTGAATAAATTTTGATTGAGTATCATAACGAGATAAACAATTGAAATATCGTAACATCCAATCTTTCAAAGATTCTATACAACCATCCAAGCATCACGTTCTTGTGATGTATCAGCCAAAGTAAATGTTTATGTGGAAATTGGACAGAAAAAATGAAACAAAACTTGAAAGAGTGAAATTTGAAGATGTCGATTGAATGTGCACACACACACACGGTCTAACTACTCATATACCAGATTTATGCACTCCACTTTGAGGTGCACTGTAGGTACGTAAGCTAGTGCAAGCATTATCCGGTATTTTTTCAAGAGTTTGAACCTGTAACATACCTCTTATAGCGTGAGTGCTGTAAACATTAGATCATTTGTTTTATAGAATGAGCAGATAAATGTTGTGCAAACTACTGAAAAAAGTCTACAATAAGAAAAGTAAGAGGATAGTCATTTTGGCACAATAAGCTTTTGAATTGAAATTTCAATCCAGAATTTTATGTGTAATTCAACGAGCATTAAAACTTGTAGGTACTCAATTCAGTCCAGAAAATTAAGAGAATACAATACTGAACGATTTAAAAACTGCCGAAAAATAACTGGTTCTTTACAGATATCCAAATTTATTCAACTGATATTGAGTCATTATGAGATGGCGAAAAATTCTGTATAAAACAGAATGTGCTAGACAATTTTCCTTTCACAGTTGGGTTGTAAGTCAGTTAACTGGATTGATTTTCAGGCACAAGGTTGTGGGTTCGAATTTCGTTCCATCTAGTTCCGTTTAGTTTACAAAGTGAGACATCATTAAATATCTTTTTAAAAAATCCATGCGATATATGTTGGGTGGAGACAATTATGTACCTTTGACAATGAATGAATGGTTGTGCAAGATGAGTCAATTAAAGCTAGACATTAAGATTGTTGGACACTGACTCAGTGGTCTAAAGGTTAAGCATTCGCTCACGAGACCAAAGATCCCGGTTTCGAGCTATTTTGGTTAGGGATCGTGGATGCGCACTGCTGTGGAGTCCCATACTGAGATGAAACGTCCGTTCAGTGCTTCCAGGTTGTCAATGGTGGTCTAGCTTACATCGACTCATGAATTCACCTATTAGAACTACTACAGTCCTCACAAATCCCCCTTCCGATGTTTATTTATCTTAATTTAACGACTGTATCAATCAGTCGTCATCGAATAACTTAGTCTTATCAAAGCAGTTACAATACATGCTCAAAACATACTATGAACATTTCACATATTTGAACTATCAGTAAACTGTGATTACAACTGACCTCTTCATAAAAAGGCATCATGCTATAATACCCGTTATATCAATATTTTTGAGACGTTTTTTTATTATTAAACATATTCAAACTGTCTCAGATTTCTACCCAGGTTACAAAATTCTATTGAATTTGAAGTGATATAATACAGGGTTTGCTGGTCACCTACAGTTACATGTGGTGGTCGCTATCCGATATAATCCTTAACTTCGTATACAGTTCGTCTTGCTAACCGTTCTATATAACGTCCCAACGGTATATTAATCAGAAGGCAAATACGAAGTGTTGATTACGTTTATTGCGAGACCACACACATATATCCAAAATTACAGATGCATTAACGAGCATTAAGAGTTGAGCCGAACACCAAACAGGCAAGCGAGCGACTGAGTGAATATAAGTAATCGAGTACAATCAAACGAGCGAGAAAGCAGAGTCAGCCATATGAATAACATGGACATATATATATATATATATATAGCATGTGAAATTAATGAGTAATCGAATCAAACAAGCGGTTAGTAGTAAGACTAGCGGAGTGAATAAATGCGTAGGCCGTAAGCAATATTCAAGCATGAGTATTTCATACAAACACAAAATAATAATAAGGGTACAATAAATTATTATAGTGCGGATGACTTTGTCCGCTAAATAAGTTAACAAAAAGGGCTTAACTGAGTTAAATGAGAATAAACCCATTTGCACGTGAGTCGCTATATACAACAGAAGCCTATTATAGGTGTGTTTCTCTCTTTTCATATGCGAAATGTTGCTTCGGGACTAGTTTCTATCACAGTCTAAAGTGACTGGAGTAAGTTATGTAGTTGAGTGTGCTGACCACTTCACTTTACTTGTCAGTCCAATCAGCCCTGAAGAATAGGTGTCTGACAAAATCTCTCTACCAATTCAGTAAGCCAAGTTGGTTAATACCGAATTGCGTCACTTTTCGCTTTGGAAAGGTGTCCGTTTACCTATCAAATGAGTAGTATGATATTAGGTAATCCAATCTCTATTACTATGAAGGTGAAATAAATATGCGTAGACTACAGTTTCGTGAGTATTTGTCCTTTAAAACATTTCTGACTCATCGTGGAGCCAATGAGTAAACAATATTGAGTTCATTTATTTGCCTTCTTGAAAATGTAGTTATTTGGTATATGAGACCAGATCTTCACGAATGAAAAGTTTCGGACATGTGTCATTTCAGTGTAATTATCATCTAATCCGATGCGTGATATTGACTGATGTTGAAGTAAGGTGCGGTCAAACTGACGGCGGCTAACCTCGTGGTCACCTATGTAGACAATAAATAGCATAGTTCAGAGTCGGTAACAGTTAAATAGATACACGTAAATCTTATTGTTCTTCAAATCTTGTATTGCTAGAGACCTGTTTGTGTACATTTAGATTATGTATTTCTCATTATCGTTTCATATTGTCGTACTTATGTTGTATAGCAGCTTGGTTTAATGATCACAACTGATTGGCACGTAACATTATTCCATAAATCTAGTGAGTTTAGGCTATGAATCTTTGGTGATTATTTGGAAAATACATATTTCAGAACAGAACAAATTTCTCAAACAAACTTGTATTTTATTTAAACTTGGTTGGTAAGGCAATAAATTAGATGTCATTACACGATCTTCAACAGGATTCCCGAACAAATAAGATTGAACTAATGTGATCAATAATTGTGATGGACATTTTCAACCAGTATTTTATTACAATTCGTTATATGTCTGTAAAAGAAATTGAAATTTTTTATTATCCTACGAATTTAATTGATTTTGCTATTATTATTAGGTGGTTTTATTCAATATTACATTTTTGGTACAATGTGGGACTCTCAGCACAAAGTATTTCAACATGTTTCCTGGCGAGACTCTTATTTAGCGACGACCTTTGAACGAATCTCAAATGACCGTGACAATTATTAACCAATCAGAAGACAGTTAGTATGAAGTGAAAATATATTGTAAATAATGAATTACAGTGGATATTCTTCTTTTACACGATTTAAAAACTTGTTAAGGTTTGATAAAGGTTCAGAGGTTCTGAATTCATAATGCATATGGTATACAAACTCGTCCATAGGGTTAGGGTTAGAGGTTAGGGTTGTAGCCTAGGGTTAGGGTTAAGGTTAGGGTTTAGGGTTAGGGTTTAGGGTTAGGTTAGGGTTAAGGTACTAACATGCAATCAGTTTACAACGGATTTTAAAGGTTAGGGTTTAGGGTTAGATGTTAGGTTTAAGGTTAGGGTAAGGGTTATGGTTAGGGTCAGGGTTTATGTTGTGGTTGGGGTTGTAGCCTGTCAACAAACACCTCTTCTCTAAAATCCGATGTAAACCGATCGCATGTTAGCACCCTAACGCTAAGCCTCACCTTAACCTAACCTTAACCCTAACCCTATGGACGAGTTTCTATACCATATGCATTATGAATTCAGAACTTCTGAGCCTTTATCAAACCTTAACAAGTTTTTAAATCATGTAAAAGAAGAATATCCACTGTAATTCATTACTTTCTTGTAATATATTTTCACTCTATACTGTCTTCTGATTGGCTAATAATTGAAATTGCTCAAACGCTTCTCATTGGCTCGTCCCTAAGTTAGAGTCTCGCCATCCCATCTGTTGTAACCTCTCATTAATCACCTCCCCTCTAAAATCCGCTGTGAACCGATCGTATGTTAGCATGGCATGTTGAAATTGGCTCCGTGACCATGAAATTGCTCAAACGCTTCTGATTGGCTCGTCGTTAAATCAGAGTCTCGCCAGTTTTCTTTATCTTGTTTCTTAAGCGACCCTTTCGATAAATATTGAATGGTCACCAGTTAGATGTTAACAGTTCATGAATCGACATCTGGTAATGTATATTGTTTTCTATGCATATTGCCAGCAACCACGATGTCTTTGATTGGGCTCTTTTGTAACTTGTACAGCGAAATGTCGTAAAGTTTTCACAAGCACACCTGAATAGGTTATGTGATTATTAGGCATAATGATGTATTAAAACAAAGTAGGGAACAGATAACTTGTTGAAATATACAGATGGCAAGAACAGGTAGCCCAAATATTCAAGCAGAACACTTTGATTACAATCCATACCTACTGTTGTTAAATACAATGTTATTCTATCCATCTCGAGATTTCATACCAACTAAAAGGTTTGATGTCCTTTAACCTTATCAGTCAACAGATTTGAAACATATTCATTGAAAAAATTCATCGGTTTGATGGTGACTTTATTAAAGTTGACATGATCAATTGTTTTAACAACCACTGGATATGTTTAATATGTTGTCTTCACAAAGTATGTCTGAATAGAACAAATCAGTTAACAAGTTGTCTTAAATGACATCATATTGCAATAACTGACATGAGACAAACACAAAATGGCGAAACTTGTGCTAGTTTAAAAATAAAGAAGTGAATTTGAATTACCCTTTGTAATAAACTTAGTGTGTGCCGATAATTTTTGGAAGCGAATTCGTAGTTAACTGAAATGTCAAAGAAAGAACAAATCATTATTTTGTACAGTAAAATACATATTAATGATTGGTCTATTGTTCTGCAAACGATGAGATTTACTCCAAGCAATTGACTATGTACTTATTCCTACTAAGTCACATAAATTGCTCATAAATGTTTTCGAATTCTCATAATTCATTGACTTTCTTCACAATATATGAATACTTGACAAACTGTTTGTATGTGTATGAATCTAAAGATTCGGAACACTTCAAATTCTCTTCTGAACAGTTTCTTCATCAAAGATATCCAATATTTTATTACTTATACTTACATAATGCTTTGTTCCATCTCCACAAAATATCGTATTTCTTAGAAATTAACTGATTCAGATCCTGAATATCTAGAAGGAGAATGAGAATGGTTTTCCATCAATTTTAAAAGTATACTGATGAATTCATCTTAACGTTTTATACCTTTTCAGTTTGGTATAAAATGAAGTATCTAAATGAATAATTGTAAACATAATCATTAGTTATACTCTTAGGAGTTCAACGGCTATTGTCATGTCTGTTAATAAATGTTAAATGCTTTCTCATATGAACGTTCATTACTTTAGAATTAGGATGTGAGTAGTAGGAATATTCAGAAATTAAATTTGTATAGCATGCCATCGAAATTGTAAATAATTGATGATGCATTATTTTATTTTACAAGCTTATTGTTTTCATTTAACTGTTGGATATGAACAGACGTTCATGAATTTGTATGGTTTGTACACCATTAATTGTGGATTTTGTCAATGGGGTTTGTGTTATCAAAGTGTTGCCTTTGATTTCTTAGTTGAGCAATTAGATTTTCTGTAGTCCATGTAATTTTGATACATTTTTTTCCACTAGACTATATGTGAACTCCATTTTCAGCATGATGGACGATAATTTAGTTTGGTTTACGTACATTGAAAACACATTTGTAAACCGAGAACAAGATTTGCAGAATCTATGATATTTCTAGAGTTTCGTTGGATGTAAACGGCTAGATGTTACATCGATGAAATTTATCTATTCTATTATTTCAAACTTTGTATGGAGCAACCTTGTTAACGTCAATTTGGACCAATTGCAGTGAATGAGAAGCACTCAAATGCCTTTAATTCACTTCATTCTGCAAATCCCAGTCTTCTCAACTTATTCAAATTGATCAAGCACTCAGGAAGTATGAAACATTTGGAAAATATGGCGCTTTTATCTGGTCAATACAATGAATATACTAGTGTCAATCATTTGTCACTAGAATCATTTAATTAATTTGTTCATGTTGGGGACGTTAGATCCCCAGAACTCACTTGAGAAAGGACCTAATTTTGTAATTTTATTTAGAAAATTTGAATTTCTTTAGTTTTGCGCCAAAGACGCTCTCGTCACCTTCATGTCGTATTTTCCACTGGGAAATATCTTAAATGCTATTGGTCCGTTGCGTCTTTTAGTATACTATTCGGTAACTGTCCCCAAGGACGGTTTTGTACTGTATATATAAGTTTTGTATTGTGTTTGTTGTTATCGCTCGTTTCTGGCTGTTTGCAGAATATACTTCTTCATCCCAAGCTTGGAGTTCTCCCTCTAGTTGACGGGACTGGGACACATCAATAGCTAGCTTACTGGTCTTTGGTCACTGTGTCTTGTTTGTCGTTCACAGATTAAGTGAACTCGTGATAGCTTCAACCCTTGCAGTTCATAAACAAGGGTAGTAGACAGATAATTGTTTCACTAAATCGCAAACCGACCAAAGTTAAACAACTATTGAAAACCTGGAAGCATTGGATGATCATTTCGTTTTGGTAAAAAAACTTCTGAACAGAGTTCATCCACGACTTCACTGGAGCGAATCAAACTCAGTATCTATGGTCTCTCACGCAAACGCTCAATCTATAAACTATGGGGTTCCGATCCAACAGTGGATATGTTCAGCTTTAATCGGTTCAAGATGGTTTTGTATTTGATTTTGACTCTTGTGGATGTGAACTCGAAATGGTGAAGTTTCACGCTAGGACGAAACGGCCATTCCGTGCTTTGAGTTTTAAATAGTCATATGACTTTGCTCAGTTCTTTATTTTAATGAAGTTCAACAATTTCCAGAACCCTATACTGATGGAAAAACACTTGATAAATGAACGTTCTTTAAAACTCCGAGAAAGTAGCTGTCAATTTCTGATGATATTAGAAACAAATAATTAGTTACAATTTATGAGAACACATCGTTGTTTAAATGTATCATAATGAATACCACTTATTTCAATTTACCTTGTTCATAGAATGTCTCAGGTAGTTCGCAAACTTTATTTTTGTTATTAGACTTCTGTCCTGGAAATAAAATTCAAACGAATAATTTCACATTGGTTTTGTTACTTGAACTGATCAGTATTTGGAGTGGATAGAAGCTTTGAAAATTCCTCAAAAACCAGTAGTCTGATTAAATATAAACGTCTATTTCCTTAAACATTCATGGCTGGTCGGTTAACATTACTTCAACTTTAAAATACTTCACCAAATGAATTGTGAAAGTTATCTGTTCAGAAGAGGAAGATGAATCTTTCATAATTCGACGATCCAGATGACAGCGAACAGAAGAATATGTGACGGAGAAGGATATATTTATAATCATTTTATAAAAGGTCAGTATTTTACATATTTCTCGATTAGCATCATCAAGTTCATGCTCTATTGGTGATCAAAATAAAGCGGTGAATTCATTATCATTTATTGGTTTATGATAAGAACGATCAAAGTTCTGGTTCGTTCAGCCTTGCTCAAATTTATTTGCTTCGCCTATCCTCGAAAGTGGGTCTGGAATGACAGCCACTCGAATGGCTATTATAATGTGAACTGTATAAGTATTCAATGCCCAATACCATCTGAAATAAGTCAACTGTACGTCGGTTGTTTTGTGAATGTTTGTATTTTCCAGACATTTTCATGAGTTCTGAAATCCTCTATTGAATTGTACAAGTATTATTCACCAAGAATTTATGTTGAAACGAACAATTAAAAGCGAACAGGAAACAATGAACACTAATTGTCTTTTAGTTCTAGATCTAGGAATGCATATCTACAATTCATTCATTATCAATTTGTCTACAGTGAAACATCATTTATATTTATTCAATTCATGAATGTGTAATGATCATCTGTAAGCCTTATAGACCATTCCAATTTTTTAATTAAGTGAACAATCGCTTATATGCAAAACAGGAATGCCAATTTCCATATAGTAAGTGAATGAGAAATGTACATATTATTTATGTAACTACACATTTAAGAATATTTTCACTGACTTTCTAAAATCTTTTCTTGTTTTATGAAGCAGCCCTTCAGAGTTGAATAATCAGGAACTGTTGTATCAATGATACACAAGAAAAGTAGATAAAATTAACTTCAAAATTATAGTAGGAAAAACAGATTACTATAACAACTAAATGTCAAATCTACTACTTCAATTCAAATAGTTCACTGTAATGAACACAAGTGAATGCTTTTGTTTTCAGAAGTTATATATACATATATACATGCATATATTACGTGTATGAAAACATTTTCGGAGAACAGTACACAAAAGCGAATATTGTAAATAGAAGTCTTCAACATGATAAGCACCATCGATATTGAATCTACATTCAATATGATAAGGGACAATTATTTAAAGAAGAAGAAAACAAAAGACAAAATCATACATGACATTAAATTCTCATTTTCAAACTGTTTATTCATTTCTAAAAGATTTAAATGAAGATAAACAGATTTTCATTTGTATGCCATCTAACAATAGGAATAATGAGATCTAATTTTAGTTATAAGGAAAGCAAGATAGTGGTTAGCAGTGGAATCCAGGACGTGCGTTTCATCACCCTATTGCACAAGCAGGTGGCTATCACGACTCAGTAGATAAGTGGATAACGTGATGGCGTTTGAAGCGTACGGTATTGGGTTTGAGCCTCAGAGTGGACATTCATCTGACGAGTCTCAAATGAGACGAAACGCGCATCGTGGATTCTACCTCTAGCCACTATCCATTTTTGTTTATAAAGCTTGTGACTTCACGCAATATCGAGGCAGTCCACACAGAATGCACATATGCCAACAAAAGACTGATGAATTGTAGTCCTAAACAACAATACAAGTAAACTACACTAAATGAATAATCTTAGTTATGTTTAAAGATTATAAGATAATAGTGTTTTAGTTTGTAACCATAATGGAGCTCTTGTGTTGACAGTCGAATTTCACTATTGGTGAAATATTTTCAAATTAACTACATATATAGATTGCTTATTCGTACTATTGTGATAAATAGAAAGATTAAAGAGTTTATAAATTATTATTATTATTATTATTATTATTATTATTATTATTATTATTATTATTATTATAAGCTTTATTCAATATTATATTTTCGGTACAATATAGAATTCTCAGCACAAAGTATTTCAACAAGTTTCCGTTTCTTTCTTCTGGGTCGATCCTGACGATAAATATTGAGTGATAGCCAGTTAGATGTTAGCAGTCCAGTAAATAAACATCTGAATAATGTATATTCTTTTCTCTGCATATTGCCAGCGACCACATTATCTCTTATTGAGCTTTTAGTAACTTTGACAACGAAAGGTTGTAAACTTTTCAGAAATGCACAAGGATGGGTTATGCGATTAATATACATAATGATATATTAAAACAAACAAAAATAGATAACATGTTGAAATATTTAGATGACAGGAACAGGTAGCCCAGATGCTCAAACAAACTGTTCAACGAATCAGTAGCCTCCTTCAGTTAGAGCAAGTTTTAAACAGAAAGGTGATTGAATACACACAAATAATCGTGAGCAGAAAATTGTCATGTTATTTAAACCTACAACTTTATTCACTTCAAATTATGTGGTTACATCTTGGTAGTGATAATATAAGAGAGATTGTCTGCTGAATCTGGATAGTTTGAAACAGGGTATATACGCTTTAATACCATTCTAATTCATTTAAACACATTTTATTTAAATGATCTGAAATGTTCATGGTTTTTTAACACAGATCAGGAGTGTTATCACGCTAATTATCATTTCGTCGTCTAGTGTAACTTCTAGAAAGTAAGTATAATAAAGAAGTAGAATGATTTATGATCCTATTTGATTGGTGAAAAATCAAAATGACTGAAACAAATCAGTGTAATGATGTATGCGTGTGAATGATGAGTTAAGAAGATCTACACTTCAACAAAAGTTTATTTGTAATATCTGTTCAAACCTTTGAGAAATAAACTGAAGGATTCTTCATGTTGTTGTTTATTTTTACACCTCATGTCTAAAATCAACCATGAGATTTAATGTAAATAACTTGATTTTAAACATACATTTTTGGATCGCTTTAAGTCTTTTAGATTCATTCTGAATAATGTTATCTGAAAGAAACAGACATATATTTAAACGATAAAATGTATTCAGTTTTATTCTTAGAAATTCTTCAAACAAATAATTATTTAAGTATGAGAGATTAGTACAGTTCGTTGTTTACATCATTGCAAACTAAGAAACACCTAGACTTCTGAGCAAAACGTATCCAAACCATGTGTTTTATCTTCTTGATCGATGACGTTTGCACACTACTGAGGAGTTTCATGCTATAATGAAACAATTGTTGAGTGCACGTAGGTTTACGCTGGTTGTCTCACTAAGACTAGACTGTGATGTAAACTACGAAACACGACATTTATCAGTCACCTCACCGGATGACTATCCCTTATTTAGAAAAGTATTGATAGACATAAGGATTAAGTTTGTGTGAAATATACCACTAAATACCAGAACAAATATCAGCGCAAATCCATGAGTCATGTGTATATAACTGATAGCATCACTCGATCGCACTAAGTCTACTGTTATTCGTGTAATTACATGGTTAGAATCTTGATGAGGAGAAATATATATGTTTCAAAAGTTTCAACTCCTCAATTTAACGTTGGAACCACTGTGAGACAAATAGGGAACTGTGTTTGAGGTTTCTTGGATTAGTTGTTGTAAAATGAATTTCACTTGGACACCATTCGAAAAAGACTAAGTAGATAAAATGTGTCAAATAATTCGTTACTATATATAGTTGCTTTGTCTTTTAACTTCTTTTTTACATGTTAATAAGTCGTGTTATGCATGAAAGTATGTTTATAACATGTAGATTTTCTTAGTTATGTATTTACGTACAGAAATCAGTTCATATTTCACTTACTTATTGTGGTCTGTAGTAACTTTTCATTTTGTCTGAAATAAGCCATTCCGCTTTCTACATCATCTGTAAATTGGACAAAGAATATTCTATTGAAAATGTGAAGTTCTTAACTCAATTTGACAATTTTAATGATGACTATTGATATCACCTTCTTGAACATCAGAATTATTTGTACAACACAATGTTACTATTCATTATTTATAGGTCCTGAGTTCGAATCTCGCGAGGCGGGATCGTAGATGCGCACTGCTAAGGAGTCCCACAATATGACGAAACGGCCGTCCAGTGCTTCCAGGTTATCTATGGTGGTCTAGCTTTGATTGACTCATGATCTCAACTATTGAAGTTCCATTATTTATATGTTAAGTATGCACGCTCATAGACTTATATCATAGAAATGAGCAGAATAATCACAGTTTGTAAAATATTATTATTTAGAAACTAATATATCAATAGTTGTCAGTGTCTCACTTATATTCAATGATAACTCAACGAGGATGGTTTTGAGGCAAATACTATTGAATGAATTTCAAATGATGTGTGCAGAGTTATTAGTGGATTTTATTCAAATAAACACGTATTTCACAAAACGATATATGTAAGGCTTATATTCTCGAGTTTTACAAGTTAAAACATACTTATTTTTTCCAATTCGTCCCAATCAACTAAGTTCAATGAAAAGAAACAAAATTATACATACTCCTGCTGGAGTATTAAGTCAACAGTGTCTTATCCATTAATTATTTTCAAAACACTTATCATATAAAAGTTATAAATTGGAATTTGAAATGTTTAATTGAGCCTAACAATCTTTGTAACAATTGATCTGCTTTAATATTGTCGATCGTTCACTTGGAAGTGGAAAGTGGTTAATTGTTTCAGTTCAGTAGATTGTTGACGCCAACATGAGAAATACTAACTAATCAATTAAATATCGGTGACTAACTATGTAAAATGGTGTAAATTTTGAAATATCAATCTGAAAGAGATTGATTATGACATAATTGATGTATCATCCCTGTTATATCTCGATAAGCATAATGAATGGTAACTTTCATCTATTAATTACAACTTCCCACATTCACAGACACATTTGGCCAAATCTCGTATAAATGTTGTTTCCTCTTTTATTGGTACGATGTGGTCTGTCTGGTTGGTATTATAAACCCAAAGTGTTTGAAATAAATGATTGATATTGCAGAGGCTGAGATTGGTGTTCTGGACTTAACTGGCTATGCTAGGCAGGAAGCATTGCCGATAAGTACTCTAGACTGCTCGCACGGGTTTTATGCGTCATTGATCCGATCGATAATTCACTGCTCTCTCATTGGCGGTATCGTTACGTATACGTTAGCAGGGCACTCAAGCCACAAGTTATAACAATCCCCATGGGTGAACTTGAACCTTTATTAATAAATAGTGAAGAGGCTCGTTTGATCTGACTCCATTTAGAGTGTATAAATGTTTGCTATCGCTGATTCTCGTATATCATCGTCGACTTAAATCGCGTTATCCAATAACGGAATTAAATATGTCGAATAACGAGAATTGACTTGAGAATACATATATTTTGCATATGAAGTGAATGAAACAGAGCCAAGCAAAATGACACACAGGGAGGATGGCTGGGAAGCCAACTCCAATTCAAGCCGGGCATTACTCAATATTTATAGGCAGACAAAATAAACTACAGACATGTGATGAGTCATGGGACATGAAGTGTACACACACATACGCTCATATGAAAACAGTCAAGGCTAATAAGCGAATAATTAACAAGGTCAAAACATGACTCAGGTAGGATGAATATAATGGAATGTCCGGAAACTAGAATAAGATATATTATGGGCTAAAACTAATGACTAACACTACAATAGCATAGCATTTTGTAGAAGAACAATAATTCCACAAAAATCATGCCATATTTAATAATATTCACCAGCTATCAATATTTGTCATGACTGTTCGAACTATACATAAATCATGCGTTAAGTGATGTATATATATATATATATATATGATCGAGATATGATTTGATGACTTACGAGGTCGAGGTATAGCTTGAAAAGTATTTAAAAATACCAATTTGCACAAATGATTTAAATGAAGTAACAATTTAGATAGGTAACGTTGTCTTAAATCATCTTCTAAATAATGTATATTCTGATGTGAATTGTAATTCCCAGTAGGTAAACAAACTGTCAAATATGTGATTATCTCATGGATGAGGCTGTTGATGATAGATTATAAATCTGGTTTAAGAAAAGTATTTTCTTATATTGGAATATTATGATTGAATATCAGCCATTTCCGTTCAAAGAGTAAATGGGATGTATTATTTACAAGATAAGATAGTTCTATGAAAAGATTTGTAATAGATTCTATTGATTTCTTTCAGGGAGTAAAAATCGATTTGGCCTAATTTATTATAATGTTGTCGTAAATGTCTTAATAAAGCTTGTCTATTATTGTGTGGTTTACATTTTCGCATGAGTGATTAGATTACCGTTTATAAAGAGGGACTTACTAATGCTTTTAATGTTAAATATTGTGACTGATTAACTAAAGATTGTCCGCCTGGAGTCCCTCTGGGGGCTATCGCCGGTCCCGAGCCCGGATAAATGAGGAGGGTTGAGCATGGTGTTAGCGACCCCATCCCGTAGAAAACTAACTTGCTAAAAAACGCTAACCAGAAACTTATTCAATTAACTAGAAACTAGTGATAAATATTCTCAAATGGTTTAAATGTGAATCAGTAATTTGGTTCAGTTGATGTATGATTTTATTTTAAGTTACTTTTATCTTAATACATAAATGAGATGTGTGTGGATGCCAAAACGCTTTACTGTTACACAAAAATAGAAGTATCACGAATTTCATTTAATTTCGGTGATTTATTTACTCTGAAGAAGTGGTTTATACTGAGTTACGAAACATCGGAAATATAATTTTTCTATTTATTGGGATATAATAGAAATATATTTACTATTAACTCTCTATCTAATGCTTAATTTATTTGAAACTATCAAGTCCAATCTTGGTATTGATAACTCTAAACTTAATCTGTTTAACATTAGAAGGGGATTTTGTGCAAATTATAGTAACTTCAATAGTTGAGATCATGAGTCAATTGAAGCTAGATCATCATGGAAAACCTGGAAACATGGTGATTCCAGGTCTAGCTTCAATTGACTCATGATCTCAATTATTGAAATTAATCTGTTTAGTGTAGAAATGTAACTAAATGTTTCCATCAATTATTAATTTACTGAGACTTTTCATCTGTATTTAAAACAATTCAAGCTGTCTCAGTTTTTCAAATTTTTAAGTAAAAAAATATAAAAATTCGTTAGTAACATCCTCTTGGATAGAGCAAAACTGTTTTCCAATTTATGTAGTCAGCTTTAAATCATAATAACGGAAGTAGATACACTTCCTCATTTCGATGATCATACAAGTTTCATAAGAATGTATGAAATACAGTGATGAGTTCGACAGTGTAAGTACTATTACAAATATGAACTAGTGAATGAACATTGTTCGATAACTTACGTTCATTTCTCAATGCTATGAAAAATATAAGATGTAAGTATATGTATAATCAAAAATATAAAACGGTGTATCCAGGAGCATGTTTCACTTTGAAAGCAGTTTAAACAAATATGGTTGATTGTTATTGAGACGTAAGTTATATTTCCTAGCACGAATCTTCCTAACTGATATATATATATATATATTTGTACCCTTAATAGGTGACTGTTAGCCACCGACGTTTATAACTATACTATTGCCTATAATGATTGGTTCATTATAAGGGATAATTTACAAAGTAACTTTAAATGTTATTACTACTGATAAGTGGCAATTATGCCTAATGCGTATTTATTTCACCAGAAATTTGAAAGTTCTTGAATCCTCATTGTATTATTAATAAGCTCAGAGGATACCCACAAAGAAATTGAAAGACTGTTGAATATCTTTATTATTTTCTGACAATAATAATAATAATAACAGGTTTGAAACTATTGTGGGAGTTGATGCTGATTGAATACATTATCATTTTGATACTAGTCAAAAGGCGCTGACCGCGTTTCTTAACCTGTTCTGTCTGTCTTCCAGCTTTTAGCGTCCATCTTGTCGATGCCAATCATTACCGAATAGTTTTACCATATAATCAGAAATATGTTGTTTGTGAATGACAATGACAGAGTGAATACATCGAAATACGTCTACAATATATTATACAGATTTATATTAATGCGTTGTCTTTACTCAGAAGTACATCTGATTAATAATCACTGAAGCATAGGGTCATTTACGGATCGTTTGCCATTGCCTAGTGATATATGGTTTTGTCAATCTTTTGAATCGAGACAGGAGTTTCAACTTGTTTAGTGGCTGTCGTATTCACTAGTTTGCATTATCACTTTACTGTTTACACTATGAATGAAATCTAGTTCGTATGGATTTCTTTTCAGCACTTCATCCGACAATCTATTGAAACTAAATAATATCCAACTGGTTCATCAATTGTAAAGATATTGGTTAGTTATTAAGTTATCACACAATTGATATCCCACTACTGATTTCAATCTAGAATTATAACAAAAAAACCTATACAACAATTATGAAGTGTTGTTTTTAGTGACTAGCAGTAAACATCATGATTCTGTTAGTCTGATTAGTTGACTGCACTTGCACCCGTGTTTATATTTACATCTAGACTTCAACCTTTTAACGTCCGCTTGAGACACTGAATGTTACGTCTACTCAAATTCTTATTACAAATAATCACTGAATTGTGCAAGGAAGATGAAATCTTATCGGTTTGTATCCTAGGGGGGCCTCAGAATGTTGATTGAAATGCTCTTCAGTTGACATCAATACCACGTCTATTCTTTCTGAATGTACGTATTGAAAAAGAGACTGATCCATTGGAGTGATTAAAATGAACAATGGGATGACATAAACCCTCACAAATGAATGAAAAATTACATAACGATAAAATTTTCAAGACTGTTCGAAAGAATGACATAGAAGGAAAAATATTAGTTGTGAAATGACTTTCACTTCATGTGAGTGTTGAATATAAATTTGTATTGAAAAATGAGAACTGGTTTATTATTATCATCTCTGATGATTTTACTTCGAAGTGATTGATTGGAATAAATGGATACGTGATTGTTTTTGTTTTGATCTATTTTAGAGTTGTACTCCTGGAATCAGAATCCATCAGTTTTTTTAGCTCATCTTAAGAATGAATCAAATAGAAATATTTAGTTTAATGAATCAAACATTCATGAAAACAAGATCAACATGGTGTATTTTATAAAGACAATATTCCATCACTTACTCTTATCGAATAGTACTTAAAAAAAAATTGTAAAAATAAAGGAATATATGTTTATGCAAAACGATTAAGGAATGAAATACACATTAACTACGTACACAGATCTATGTTCTTCTTCTTCTTCTCTTTTTTAAAATGCAAATTATTAATTCATATTGATTCGCTAATATCTGTCATACTGTGATGCCTACTACTGATGTCGATAGATATAAGTAGTAAATATTGTCCACTACAATACCTGTTTAAATTGTATCACCCACAACTCATTACAATAATGTAATGCATATTTATTGCCAATATTTCAAGGATATTTGTATGCTTTTTATTGATTAAGTAAGTCTTTTGATAAGATCAGTTCCATGTAAATGTAACTATATTATAGTGATAAACTTTATGTTTCTAACATGATTTTTCGGACTGAAAATAGTCAAGTTTGTATTAAATGGCTTACCATGTACAGCAGCTTATAGAGAAAAGGACCAATGGGATACGAAAATTGAATAAATATGTAAAGCATATTCGTTAAAGAATAGAGTTACGGTAGTAGAAAGTTATAGCTTTAGTTCAGAGAAATACTTTGAGTGACTTTGAAACTGATCAAATAGATGTAAACCGGTTCAGAGTTCGACTGCAGTGCAAATAGTACACTGTATTAAATTGTATAATTATAGAAGAGATAGTATTTTAGAACTTAGAAATAGTAGAGTTTAACTCGACCAACCAAGATAAAACATCACTAACTCGATAATTTATTTTCTAGGTCGTGTAAAATAAAACTTACATTTTACAAAGAAACATGGCCTCTCTATTAGAGCACTATGTCTAATTGCTGTCTTCATCAAAAATATAATACTATGTAATATGATCTTATCTCTAGAGTCAAGAATGCTGTTTTTCAATAATTTGACTTTCGGTAAGTAATGGACGAACAGATAATCATGTAAACTATCTGAATGACTCAATCTCGTCAAAAACAGAATTTTGTTTTGCATTAACTGGATATTCATAAACACATTTAGAAACTGCGTCGTACTCCAGTAATCCATATGTTCATTCTAAATAATCAACTCTATTCGACTGAAGATTATCAGTATAGTTTAGTTCTACACATTAAAATTGAGTGACAATTATTGTGAACCAGCTAGAAAGCATTAAAATGTACTTGCTGAGACTCATATTCTATGGATTTAAAATTTAACACATTAAATGTTGAAGAAAATTTGGTACTTTTCTAACTGTATTATATCATGTTTGAATAACGAAGAATATAGAAAATGCACATTTCCACTTGTTGTGGTTAGGCTGTTTTCATCAAAATGCATTAACTTAGACTGATCAAACGGACAGATTATACAAATATTCAGCATATGATCAGCAAAATTCGAATAAATAAATTGAATATTACAAAATTCAACTTACAGTCTGGTAATGAAATGTGAAAAAGTGCAACAAATGTGATTAATTAAGATTGAGATGTAAATCATATTGGTTATCATGAACATTTCGTAATTTGATATACGATATCAATGTTATCAATATGTAATGGTAAACCAATAATTCATATTGTTGCACATCAGTCGATTATCATTGATTCATTATAAAGAGTAATTTAAAACTAAACGGAATTCACTCATTAGGAAATCACAGAGTTACAAAGATTAGTTTGGAGAAAGGTTGTGTTTTCGGAGAGTTCACTTCTGAAGTGTACAATCTCACATACCATGTTTCTCATAACGATATTCAGTAATTTGCCCATTACTGTTATCATGATGTGAGGATGATGAACTAGATAAATGTAGAATGACATGTTAAAATGAAACGGTGATGTTCATATGAACGATGATTGGTATGAGCATTCGAAGGGAAATATATTGGTTTAGTGGTAAAGTTGTGTGGTGGGAGATGGAGATAAAGTGATAGATTCGGAAAAATGAGGACGATGGAGGCGATGTAGAAGATTGTTTCTGAATATCGAGTGGTTGGAAAATACTAATTACAGGGTTTCTCTAAAGAAGAGTATTTTGAGAGAGAGAAAGAGAGTTGGAAATGGAATGTGAGCATTGAAAGGGATGTTCGTAGACAGAATTTTGTTTGATGTGAAAGCTATCTGTACTCTGAATATAGGTATCATTACCAAGGTTTGATTTGATAATTTCGAATAAATTGAGCATTGGGTAGATTGTTATAAATGAATAGCATATTTGTAATATCCCAATGAGTAGAGAAATTAGATTTTCTGACGTTTCGTGGCTTGGTGTAAGTCACTTCTTCAGAAAATCTAATTTTTCTACTCATTGAGATATTACAAATATACTATTTATTTGTACTCTGAATGTTCGAATATTATACTTATATCGACAGGCCTCAATGGATATTACTGTGAATGATACCACTACTGATAAGTGACAAAAATACTCACCAAACATGTATTTCGACAAGAGAGATGATAATCGAAATACATAATTGTGATATATTAGAGAAGTTCTAGAATTGTCGTTGTGGTAGTTGTGATGGTAGTCTCAGTGATAAGATTAGAATCATTAAAGCTGTTAGTGTTGGTAGATTCTGTTGTATTAGTGAGAGTGGAACGGTTGTATGATAGTCAATGATGTGTGTAGATATCCACAAAATAAAATAGAAAGTCAACCTAACATTAATATCACATGATAATAATGAGGGATTCAATATAGTTGATGCAAATTATCCTTGTGAATTAACCATCATTTATATAATTATCATAATAGGCTATTACTCTTGATTCCACTATCCCATCTGTTTCTCGATTTAGAAGTGTAATCGCACCGAAATTAATGAATAGGGAAGCGTGTTAGTGTATAATAAGAAACATTTTGCATTTCGACTTGTCATTACCAATGCAAGTGATGTATGTATGCTCGCATTGTCTCCAAAGCTTTTGAATGGGATATTTGTATGTGCTTCACACTCAATAGGATCAATGTGTGGTTGTATTGCAATTGAAGTATGTTTGAATTATTGGAACGAGGTTTACGATTTTGTGTGTGACATTCAATTTGTCTGAATAGACAAGATAACTATAGTCAGATTCATTGAGTATTTGTAGATAATTAAAACAAATACTGAAATCTGATGGCTGTTTATCATACAATTTTCTAGAAGCACAGCATGCTTTGTACAAATGTGACCGTATTAAACATTCTTGACGAGATAAAATTTGGCATTCATTTTATCTTCATTTGACCTCAGTTTTCTGAGGTATGTATGAACATTTTAGTCAATGTCTGATTTAGCGAGCACTATGGAAGGGTTATTTTATTATGAGCAACATGTGCTATTCGAAATGACAATGACGAGATATTTTCATTGATACACATCTTCGATTTTATAAATATTTTTGTCATTTTGTTATCTGTTTTCTGTAGTTCATTTGATAGGCGGTGATTATCGTGTTGTTCAATATTACGTAAGGATACACTATCTTATCATAGTTGTGGATCATGGCATATTACTTTGTCCAATTATACTACTGTGATGAACGCTACTCACGAGATCACTTGTAGGTAGTTACCTACTTACTTACTTACGCCTGTTACTCCCTATGGAGCATAGGCCACCGACCAGCATTCCCTTACACACTCTGTCCTGGGCCTTACTTTGCATTTTATCTAATTTTTGTTCATTTTCCTCATGTCTGTCTCCATTTCTCGACGTAATGTTTTATTTGGTTCTCCTCTTTTCTTTCGGCCTTGAGGATCCCATGTGAGGGCTTGCCTTGTGACGCAGTTGGGTGCTTGTATGTAGTACTCATACACAAATTAACTGTTTGGAAAGTGGGAAGTATATTACGTTGACGAAAATCTACTTGTGAAGAATGGATACCTAATGGTTCCAATAAACAAGTCCATACAATTCACGAAGTTAACTGTTTGTAATAATTATCCAATGACCAGAATTATACCAGTAGAGAATGCTCCAAATTTATTTAACCTAACTCATGGTTTTGAAGTTGTGAGTAATAACCAAGTTGAAAAACTTATGCAACTCAGAACACCTGTCAACTAATATCCAAGTCACAATCTTCAAGACAGTTCTGCTGTGAGGAGCTAAAACTTGTAGAACTGCCACAACTATCATTATAGATGTGCAATTAATTATGAACAAGTGTCTGCGCAAGATACACAATGTCCGTTGACCGGATTCCATCAGCGACAGTCTACTGTGAGAGAGAACAAACTAGCTTAGAGTTGAAGAGGAATTTAGGAAAAGAGGTCGGTAATGGATAGAACAGATATCATGAAAATCATCAGACTTCATCACGAAGCAATCCCTAACTTGGAACCATGAGTGGAAACGAAAAAGAGGAAGGCCAAAGAACACACTTTGTCAGGAATGGGAAGCAAACATGAAAAGGATGGATAGCAACTGGGAGAGATTACTTTGGACAAAGTTGGATCGTGAATGCTGGTAGGGAGACCTATGTTTCTCCACAAGGGATAACAAGAGTAAGTAGTGGAAAAATCAACGTGTATCATATTCAGAGATTCCACTGCTAGCCACTATCCATCTTTGCTTATAATGCTTGTAAATTAAGGCAATATCGAGGCATACGCACAGTATGCACATATGCCAATAAGAGACTGATCAATTTCAGTCCTATAACATCAATGCGAAGATTCAAGTAAAAACAACATCAAGTAAAATAAACCTCAACCCATTGCACAAGCAAGTGGCTATCGGTACTGAGTTCGAGTCCCAGAGTGAACATCAACTCAGATGCAGGTACATCCAGCTGACGAGTTCCAAACAGGACGAAACGCGCGTCCTGGATTCCACTGCTAGCTGCTAACCATCTTTGCTTATAAATTACTTTTGTTTGAAAAAAAGATTTTGTCAATTTTAAACGATAATAAATATTCCAAATACACATCTTTACTATTATGGCGAAAATAGTTTCATTAGAATACATTGAATATTAGTACTTAACTTGATTATAAATAAATAATATACATATGTAATATCCCAATGAGTAGAAAAACTAG